GCAGGAGTTGTACTTGTAATCTCACAGTGTGGAACTACTAATATTACTATACAGTTAAAATGTGATGTAATATTACAGATGGTAAAACTCTGATGTACCTTCATTCAAGTAAAACTTTACATGCAGGACTTTCACTGGCGTACCTGAGTTTACTAGAGTGTGAAATTGACTTTTTTACCTCCACAGATGAGAAATCTGAATGTGACACTGGAAATAAAAGCGAAAGAGAAAGCACTGCAAAGGTAAGAAGAAAAAAAATAAGAAGAAGAATTGAGGACTTTCACTTTGGAATCCCTCATTTCACTGTGTGGCTGAATAATCTGAACACAACACTGGAAATAAGCTGCTATCATATTACAGAAAACAACACCGACACACTGGGAATAAACAGACACGGCCGCACAAACACAGGATTCAGTGAGGAAGTTTACTGCTGAGCAAAAAAAAATAAAAACACACCATCCCACCTCTCTGTAGCACTGATTGGTCAGGAGGCAGGTGTGTATTTTAAGGTAGTATTCCAGAAACCTGTAATAGACTCATTACAGTGTTTTTCTGTCTCCTCACACTCCCTCCTTATGTGTGTGTGTGAGGGAGGGAGGCTGTGACCATGCATACGGACTGACTGATTGACTGTCTGGCCATGACGCACGCACACACACACACATGCACACGCACACACATGCACACGCCTCCTCCTCATGAAAACACCTCTTCCATCTGAAAACACAACACCGCCTCCCCTCCACTATTTTCTCTCTCTCTCTCTCTCATCCGGCGCAGAAAAAGCCCGGCAGCGCGAGGTGACGCGTTTTGCGCATTTCCTGCAAAGCTCGCGGATTCAGGAGCAGCAGAGGGGAAACGCAGGGGGCGCGCGCGCAAGAGGAAAAAAAAAAAAAAAAACAACACACACACACGAGAGCGCGAGAGTGGTGATGAATTCGGGGTGCTCGTGAGCCCGTTCATAAGAAACAAACAAACAAAACAACAACACCGCAGTTATTATTGTTGTCGCTGCTGTGGAGAGGAGCTTCTTTCTTTTTTCTTTTTTTCTTTTTTTTTTGTTTCTCCGAGAATACGCGCAAAATATCGCGGTGTTGGTGAGGTCGCACAGCCAAGGAGATTATCCACCGGAGAGAGGGAGCCGCGACGGGGCTGGAAACCGGAGCACCAATCCCGGATGGCTAGGCGCGGCTGCTCGCTCGCTCTCCCTCCCTGACCCCCGGGAAGAGACGCAACAGCGGACCGCCGGGCTGGAAGACGGAGCAGGAGAAGAACCGAGAGGCTCCGGTTCGGGGCAACTTGACATGTTTTATTCGGGAATTTTGCGGGACCGAGCGTAAACAAACACAAGGCTCGGGTGGGAGAGAGAGAGAGAGTGTTCAGACCACTGAAGGGTGTGAGTCTGCGTGGTTGCTGCGTTTTTTTTTTTCTCTCTCCCCCTCTTCTCTCCCCCAAGCCCATTACAGATCCATTATCTGTGCAGTTCCAGCGTCTCTGTGGACGACACCGTGTTCTGATATGGTCGGACTAGACTGAGGAGCCAGCGGCATTATGGGATGTAGCAGGACTGTGCAGTGACCCCCGCTCATTGGAAGGAAACACTGTGTGTACAGGAGCAGGAACAGGCAGACGAGCCTAAACACACACACACACACACACACACACACACACACACACACACACACACACACCCTCATCCCGTCATAGACACACACTCCTGCAGCCATGCCTGTGTTCAGTGGCCTGCTCAAGGTAAGAGTGTGTGAGGCGGTGGACCTGAAGCCCACCCCATGGGCCCTGCGTCACGCTGTGGGCAAGAGCGGCTCCTTCCTGCTGGACCCCTACCTGGCCCTGAACCTGGACCAGACCCGGCTAGGCCAGACCGCCACCAGGACCAAGACCAACAGTCCCGCCTGGCACCAGGAGTTCTGCACCGAGGTCCGGGAGGGAAGGAGCCTGGAGCTGTCCGTGTTCCACGACGCGCCCATCGGGTACGACGACTTCGTGGCCAACTGCACCATCCAGCTGGAGGACCTGCTGCAGAACGGAACCAGGCACTACGAGGACTGGGTACGTGTTTGATGCTTGGCGTTGGCGTCTGGGGGGAGCCTCGGGTCTGCATGTGTGACTCTGGTCAGTTCGTTAGATTCTTAATCCCGGGACTTCTCCTTTAGGTTCTTGGAAAGTTCTGACACAGATTCTCCATGTGGGCTCTGCTGGTGCAGAACCTTGAGTGCCTCTTTTTACCCCAAATTTAAAATCTGATGTGGAAGTCCAGTTGGAGATGTTTGTGTAGATTCATCCAAGTCATGCTAGTAATAGGAGCTTCAATAACACTGGGCTTCTTGAGAAGAACCTGAACCTAAATTGAAGCTCCTATTGATTGAGAATCTACACAGAAATCTACAGCTGGACTTCTTCTCAAGAACCTAACAGGGAAGTCCTGTTGCTTCTCATTGAGGCTCTTATTATGACCATGACTTGGATGACTGAGAAGCTGCTCAGTGCCCTGACTAACCTATCTACACAACGCATTCATTCAGACACACTCGTCACTTGTATCTCCCCATAGCGATTATAAAAAACGGTGCAAAAGGTTCTGCACAGCCAGAACTGTATGCATGGGCGCTATTTATGGTGCAGAAAAGCTGAATATGTGCAGCTGAGATGGCATTCAACACCAAGCTGCTCTACGTCTCTGCAGCAGACCGACTGTTTGTTGCGTGGTGGACTTGGTGCCGGAGGACCGGGCCCCTCGGCCGCAGCACGCACGCGTTTTGTGGCCTAATCGGTTCATGTTCTGCTTCACAATGAACAGCTGTGGGGTGCCTTGCTCATGAGCGGATCTGATTTCTTCTCTCTTCTGACACAGATTGCGATCTTTCACCACGTGGGATCTGCTGATACAGAAGCTCTGTTTCAATATAAAAACCGCCACATTATGTAGAACTGAGACCATCCTGACATTGAATAGAGAACACGTATTTAATGGAACTTCTGGCCTAATTATTAAATCTGCACCTTCTCGGGGAACCTCTGTGGTTTCAGTTCAGTGCATCTCTCGGTAATTTGGGGCCTTCGGTGCCGCTACTCCGGAAAATTCTCCTCAAATGTCAAACCTTTGCAGTCGGAACAAGTCTTCGCTGCCATCATCGTCGTCACCTCCACCGCCTTCTTTCACTTTCTGCAGCAGCCTGTCATCAAGCTTCATGCGCTGAGAGGTTGCCTGGCTGGACAAAGTCTTCTTTTCCTTATTTGAAGCTACAAAGAGCTTCTTGGCTTCCTGTTCTTTAATGCTGCTGCTTCCTCTCTTCTGTCTGTCACACCTGAGCCTTGTGGACTTACATCACATCTGATTTCTTTCTCGATTCCTCACAGTCCTCCTACCTCTTCGGGCTGGAGGAGAATGCTGTATTTACCCCTGCAGAGTTACAGTTACACAGCAAACACGGCGACGCAGATGTGGATCAGCGCCTTCAACAGTTTGTCCCTTCCTCAAGAGACATGTTAGCTGTGGGAAATACCGAAGTTCCTTACATTTGTCACGGTTTCTTTAATTCGAGACCAGACGGCCACATGTAGATGTGTATGTATGGGGAGGGATAAAGAGCTGTTTGTTTCGGGTCCGCAAGTTGTTATCTCCAGCTTTAACATGTGATCCTGTCCTGCTGTTGACGGCGGTTTTATGTCGACTCGCTTTATGTTAGATCAAAGACTGACGAGGGTGATTTCAGGACAAGTGTTCTGGGAGCCGCTGATGATGTTCGACACAGGTTGTGTTGGATTAACCCATTATCTACGAGTGGCATGCGTTTTCCCGCGGCGTGCTGTGAGCCATTACAGTCATTTTCTACCTTTCAGGTTTCAGCAAACGGTAAAAATCTGAAATTTTAAGTCGTGGTAAACAATCGCAGCCGCCGCGCTTATTACAGCGTTATTACTCGTCTGTCAAATGGCATTTTTGTTCCGTGGCAATTTTGTTTTGAAGACTCCTGAATGTCAGAGTATTTACAGCTCTCAGCTGGATTAACATATGACCATGATGTAACGTTAAAAGCAGGAGGCAACAAAATGCTCATTGTGGTGAATTAATCTCCAATCTGAACTCTTAGGAAGCTTATTTTCATGCCGCGATATTGTAAAAATCTCATCGTGCGCTTTGTTTAAAGTGTGTAGGATGTGAAAGTGTACATGAGTCCGCAGGCAGAAGCGTGTAAAGCCAAACGGTATGGTTCGTTAAGGAGGGGGGGTTTCATTGATGTGCAGTTATGTAACCTTATGCTATATGAGCATACACTGGCATGTATAAATAGACACGCACACGCAGAGGTACCTCGTCCCTCAGCCGTCCACACTAAGGTCAGAGCGTATGGATCACTCTGCTGATTGACTGCATCCCATCGATCAGCCGGCCGGCTCGCCAATACATCTGCCTCAGAGCGACACAGTCCCTCCCACTTCCCCTCCGTCCTCCTCCCTTTCATTACTCACCACTTCTGCCTCCCTCGTCCTCCCCTCCTCTACGGCGAATTCCTCTCCCATCTCGCAAACACTTATCCCCCCCCACCTCCCCACCTCCTGCCTCTCCTCATTTAGGCATCATCATCCTCTTTGTGCTTCACTCGTGTACCTTAAACCCTCCTCTTTTATCTGATTCCTCTTGATGCTCTTACCTTCTGTTGCTCTTCAGTCTCCAGCGGGGAGGGAGGATGTGGAGTTCAGTTTCCATAAGGAGGCAGCGGCGGGGAATATAAGTCGGATCAGTTACGGTTTTTTTCTTGATGCAGCCTGCCTTGTACGCTTTGTCTGTTGGATTTCTGTGTGTTTGGGAAATAGTTAGAGGATTAAAAATGACCAATGGTGGCATCAGATATATTGAACCTTGTGCAGAGGCCTCCTCACAGGATCAACATCAGTGAACTAATGTTACGGTAATAAGCTGCATCAATACAAACATGGGTGCAAATTTCAGGGAGCCGACCCAATACTTGAAATACATGTCGCTCCAGTGAAAACAAGAAAGAAGCAACAAGCCTTTAATTGGTAAAACTACTCCATCATTACTCCTAGACGCAGCACAACAGATGCATGCAGAGGAAATGGTGCTTAAAAATTCACCAGCAAGTTAAATATTTGATGCTCAAAGGAGGACCTCCAGACCCCCATGTGTCTGTTTAACCTGTGCCCATGTAGTGTAGGTATTAATGGAGTCTTTTTTAAAAATTATCCAGGCTCAATGCAGTAACAACTGAAAACTTGTCAGTAATTTACATTTATGGGTAAATTACTGTCATGATCCATCAATTTCTCTCTTTTTTTTCACAGTTTAAATCATAAAATGTCACAAAACAGTGGAGAAAACTCACCACAATGTTCTCTTTGTGCAACTAACAGTCCAAAAGAATGCAAATATTCACATTTCATAACATGAAAAAAAGAGTCTTTATTGGTGTTTTTGCTCGTTAACTCGATGCCATCGAATTCTCTGTTGCTCAACTTTTGCCACGTTTGGAACAGACATTATTGATGCTCCACAAGATGAATCATAATGACTTTGGTGATCCCCTGAGTCACATTAGTGGGTTTTAGTGAAATATCTCAACAACTATTGGATAGATTACCATGAATTTTAGCGCCTACCTTCGTGCCTCCATTAGGACTATTGTCATCATTTCGATGGGCCCCCGACTTTTCATCCGTTGCCATCGTCATCCTAAAATTTTGTGTATATTGACTAAATCCTAACAATCCAAACAGCATCGACTGAACACTGCATATAGTGCTAATTAGAAAAGGTTAGCATGCTTAAACTAAAACGGTCAACAAGGTGAACATTATACCTGCAAAGCATCATCATGGTAGCATTGATATTGTTAGCATTTAGCTCAAAACAGACTCCCACAGCTGCTCACCTGACTGGAGACTCTTATAGTACATGTTCACTTGGAACTTCCTTGTTTATTATGAAAACAGTTTGTGTTTCTGGAAACATGTTTGATGAAAAATGGTTGAAAACATCTTTGGAATTTTTCAGAGGCGTCTATTCGCGCTCGATGCTTCTCGATTGCATCCAGAAGTTGATTCCTGGACTTTATGCAAATGAGCAGCGGGCAACATGTCTTTTAAAAATGCTCCCAGAATGCATTGCAGGGCGGCTCACATGGATAATATACAGGAAGCGCTTGAGTGATGGATTGGATGGACATGTACCTTTAGTCCACGTCCACACTAACAAGTTTTTGTTTATAAATTGCATAGATTTAGCAAAGTTTATGATCTGGGTCCTCACCACTCCAGAGTTTTAAAACAGGTTAAGTAGAGACTTGTGGGAACCCTGCGTGCCCGCTTTTAGTTTGACAACTTTAAGATTGGGTTTTAGCCGTGACGCTCAGAAACATTTAGAAACGATGACTCTTCCTCGTCAGCTCTCGTCGGCCACTACGCGTCCTTCCCTGATTCATCACGTCCTTACATTTGCTTTGCAGCATCTCCCGGTCTGTGATTTCTGCTGGCGTGACCACCTTACAGTACACACTCATGTGTTACTTTGAGTTTACTGTGACTCACCGGATGCAGACTGCAGGTAAAAGCCTGCCGGATCCTGCCAGTAGTCACTATCTGTGTGTCATTGTTGTCAATATTCCCCTTTTGCTACGGAGAAACAACAACAACAGCTTCCGACTTAGCAGCCAGCGACATGAAAATGGCAGAGATCTGAATGGTGAAATAAGGCCTCGTCACCTCCATGCTGTGTCCTTTAACAGGGACACAGTTGCTACATCCTGGGCTGAGTGCTGTCCGTTGTAGAGGGCCTTTTGTCTCCTGGCAGAAGAATGATAATGGACGCAGTTAGACCATTTTCCAGCACTGACGCAGCGCTAGTCTGGCTGTGAGAGACCAGCAGCTTGTCTCTACAGATTTTTTAGATTTTCTACAACTAAGCAGTCAATACTTTAAATCTTGATGCACAAGCGTGGTCATGTGGTCTGCAGGCATGCTAGTATGAATGGGGCCTGCTAAAATGCTTGCCTGGACGGGGATTATTTTCATTTTAAAATGCTGTTTTAAGA